CATCACTACCTTTCGCTTACTTTCTAAACAAATTTTAAATCAGTTCACTAATCAGTCTAGAAAAACACAGCCAATTTTGTTTGTTTTGTTGACACCACTTTATCATGCGTTCCCCTTACATGAAATTACATTAACAAGGTCATAAGACGCATTTTCCTTCACCTACTTCAGTATTTACGATAAGTCGACAACCATGCGGTCCATTAACCAGTCTTTATGAATACTTACTAGTGTTTCGTTTTCTGACTTTGTGGAAGACAAGTGTTATACTTTCCTTTCCTTTTCTTTTTGGTCAGTGTTTGTGCACATGAAGTTATTTTAATATACATATTGTTATACACTTCAGACATGTGGTTTAACTAAATTTATAGAAAAATTAATTCACTATAGTCTCACCTTCAGATATTAAGGTAGTCATAGCTGAAAATAAGAGTTTTGTAATGAAACCAGTGTTGTCAACAGATATTCTATTCATGTGTGATTCTCAATAAGGCAGTTGACTGATTTGAAAGAAACCTTCAACACAGAGTGATGTCAGTTGAAGAACCAATGAGAAACTGAGGGCACGGATCTGGTGTTTGGTATTGTCTCAGAATTCTCAGCAGTGCGCACTCGTGACACCACGAGGTATCAGGCCCAGGACCGTAAGGTCTCAAGGTGAATGCGTTACAACAAAAATAGTGTAGGTAGAGCAAGCGTTATTACCATCTATTTTAGTTGACCTGCTCACAATAATGTTTTGGATATGTGAAAGACATTCTCCTAAGAAAGCTATGTCTTCATTTTGGTTGTCTCAGGTTAAGCTGTACTTTGTTTGCTCTGACAGCCGTAGAGCCTGTTGACTCAACCGTTTATTCAATGGACCGTCTAAAAGGGTCTTTAACTGCTGGCTTTAGTAGATAAATTGTGAAACCCAAGGTCTAACTTGACGGAATGCAACCTTTTGGAGTCTTTTCATCAAGATTATTCTTACCAATTTGAAGATGGCAAAACATTTTGTTCAGAATAAGTATATCAAGCAGTTCACTGGTCTTGAATAAAAATTGAAACTAAACCCAGCTCGCTCACCAGACAACACTTCAAGAGACCCTTCTATATTATCTATATGAGTAAAACATACCATGGTATTACTGCCTTAATTCTAGAGACTGACAAATTTCAAGTATTTGAAGATGATGAAAACAAAGGAAAGGCTATGTCCGGATATTTTGTGGAAGTCTTAACTCGAAAAACTCTCCAGAAGGTAATGTTAGCATCATGCGTACCAAAGGTAAGCGGATAAGACCTTATTGCAGCCATACTTTTGGAAATATAAGTACTTTTATGTTGGAAAACCAACAGGAATAGATGAGTTATACCTAAACTGCTTAGAGAGCCTGCACTCATCTGCCAGCTGAGGCATATCACCCCAGGACAGAAAGAAAGTCATGGCCATAGTTATTCACAAAAGTGAATCTTTGCAGCCAGTACTGCAGTTGGAAGTGAAAAAAGAATAATCAAGAAATTTTTTGGGGTTCATCTGCAAAGCGACGCCACGTTATTCAGTTCACAGTGCGGCTTTTACAGAAGTTTCTGCTGAGTGACAAACCTCAAAGAGAGGAAGTTGGGTACAAGTTAGGCATAAAAGAAAGTCTATAGGCATTGCCCGCAAACCATAGTAATGGGTCTGATTAAATACCTCACTTTCAGTTTCTCTTGATACTGGAACGTTACAGCACCACTGGTAACCTACTTGCATAGATGAGAGAGTGCCATGCCGACAAGAGATACAGAGTACTGAACGATTCTAAACACTGCTTCTGGACGCTGGTTCTCAGGAGAATACCGCAAGACACAGTCTTAAATCTTCTACTGCTATTCTGTTTATAAACAAACTAATGAGCATTGTGAAATTCTCCAACATCCTCTAAGCTTATGATGTAAACTGCTAGAAAGAAATAAGACGGAATGATGGGGAAATTTAGACATACCTCAAAGTATTTCGACCTGGCCACAGAAAAGCATGGTGCATAAAGATAAATACGACGCTAAACATCTAGGGAGTTCAGATGGAAACAGTTATTGCGATTCACGGAGTTGTTCTTGTATCAGTTCTAACTATCACTTGGCAGATATTGAACTCCAAAACTTGTAGACAGCAGCAAGCTGTTAATCAATAGTAGTTTAGCGTCAGGAGAATTTCGGCGATAAGCAGTAACATATTCATCTGAGAAACATTCTTGACTGGATGGAAACTGGATTAACGTACACGATCAGCAAAATCTCGCCTGTAAAGTAACTCTCGTCTTCTGGGAACACTGAAAAGGACGATTTTTGCTTAATCTGAGAGGAAAGACCTCAAAAGTCCAATCTTTTCTGCTTATCGTTTCACAGAAAAAAAGAGATATAATCATAGTGCACAAGACTCTAAGAAATGAATTTGGACCTGAAATGCCTTCCTGTTTTCTTGAAGATTCTCCAGAAGACATAACAGGAGGGCGTAAAATTCAAGGAAAAAATATATTTGCAAAAGTAGTAGTTGTAATGTTGACTGACCACCTGTTATAACAGACTTCTAGAAGAAGTGGTATTCATGTTATAAGTTGGTTCACTTAAGACGTAAATGGAAGAAGACAGAGATCAGCAAGAAGAAGACCAAAATGGGCTCACACCCTTCTATCCTCAGATCAAAACGTGAATCTAGGTATATTCTTGGTAATCATCAAATATCACATATATACGATTGTACAGTTTGAAAATAAAATCATCATGTTCCAAAATACCACTTCTGTAACCTTCGGTTCATTTTCGGAAGTATATACTGATTAACATTGCGAACTCACATAAACAGAGCACTCAACATTTTCAAGTAAATAACATTTCACTAGATTTTGAATCCTATAAGCTTTTGCTTACAGTTTAACTTGGTTCACTTTGGAGCGCTCAACTACAACTTCAGCTCTCTTATGAAATGTTCATAGTAATTAATATCTTCAGTGATCCTAAAGTTCGACTTTTCTGGTGATGGATAAAATCTTCTAGTTATCTCAATAGTTTATGTGCAGAAATTCGAAAAACTAATTACCATTTAGGAATAAAGAGAACCTGGGTTGGTGTGAGTGTTATTTAGATGTTACAATATACATTATATAAAACTGGGGTACTCGTACTACATTCATTTTTGCTCATGCTTTTATGCCACCCTCTAGGTTGAAAATAAATCATCTCAACACATATAAAATGTGGGTCGTAGCAAGATGGTCTCTAGTTTTTACACCATCGGTACCCTGTTTTACATTATTCCTCGTTGAAGTCTTGCCACTCATCCTGGTGCTCTCGATGCGAAGAAGCATTCCCAAAGTACCCAAAATGAGCGTATTCTTGCTGACCACTGACTTGAAATATGCTTTAAAACAGGATATACTTCAACACGCGAAGAGGTTATTTCCTTATATGAGCTATAGAAGCTAAATGTGTCGGAGTATCCTACACGCTAAACAAAAAGACAAAAACTAACCATATACTTGAAGACGATAAGGAAGAAGTGGGAGCTATGGTTGGAACCTTCTATAGACAATTCAACGGCAAAAGCACTGACGTATAACAGAATAAACTCTGTCGACTTTTGCTCGAATTTTTATAAAGGACATTAAATGCTCTGGATATACTGGAATCAACTGGACCAGATGAGCTGCATTCAAGGCTGCGCAGCGAATTCGCACTGCATGTAAATGGCGCAAAGGCTCTTGAATTCACAACGGCTCTCAGTGAAGGCATAGCCTTCGGTGATTGGAAGGATGTCATAGTCACACATATCTACAAGACTTTTGGACAGCACCCATAGAATTACAGACCACTAAGTTTGACTCATGCTGCAGTAAAAAGCCCAGAAAGAGTAATCAAGAAAGCCATTACAGATTACTCAGACAGAAATACTCTTGTTTCCCGTTTGCAGCGTGACTTTCGCAGAAATTCCTCTTGATGTGAGTATGAGCAATAATTTGTGCTCGAAACGTCATCAAGTGGATAATACTAGATCACTGTGTGTTATAAATCAAATAAGCAAATCTGATGTGGGGGTCTTTTCATAGTCACAGAGAGTTGGGTTAGGTCTAAGGATGATAGGACACGTTTACATGTTACTTTCATAGACTTTAGCAAGGCATCCAACAACTTACATCATTCCAGGTTGTCCAAGAAAATGGAAAGTTTCGGAAGCACTGGCAATCTACTTGCATGGATCTGAGAGTTCCTTGTTGGTAGAAAATAAAGAGTAAGGATCAGTTTTCATATCCCCTCTTGGAAGTCGATAGACAGTGGAGTGCTGCAAAGCTGGACCGACATTCAGATTTGCAGTTGACTGGCAACAGGTGCAGTCACCATATACCGAGTAAACATTTTCGCCACGCTCAAAACGGCAATATATAAATGCAAAACTTAGCCACTGTGATATAATATAATTCCATATTGGATTTATTTATTTCATACATAGCGCACGTTGATACAGTACTATTCAACTGTTAATAAATAGTGCTGCATCACTGTGCGCTATATATTAAATAAACAAATTCAATAGAGTAATGTTGGACCATTCACTTTGGAGAGTGTCGGGCAAAATGAAGGGCCTGATACAGGGTTTCGAAGCATTTCCTCTGCTTCTGAGTAGGTGTTTCTAGGCATTCCACTTGGCCTATTGTTCAGCACATCTGGCTCCACGATTTTATCAGTCGCCCAGTGTACGGCCCAACATTCTGTGATGGCCCTATATACGGCCCCACTGACCAGACGTTCAGTTCAACTTGATTGATGGCCCACATCCTGCATCACCAACGATTCATGACCTGATTCTGGGATTAAAGCTGGATCTACTTATGAACATAGTTAACTGTGTAGTTAACTATGGCCTATTTGCCCGGAGAAAGTATCAGCTGATATAGAAGGGGACTTGATATTCAGTGGCAAATCTTTACAAATTAGTGGTTGTCTTATGAATCAAAATTACTGAACTGACTTCAACTAACGTTTGCTTTTTATCGTTACGTTCAAGAGATATTTTTGAACGTTGAGCTAACAAGCATCGATCATTCCGCTTGAGAATGTCATTTGTATGGCCGATTGGAAAGCAGTACTCTTCGGTTGTCTTCAGGGCAATTTCATGAAATAAATCCTGAAAAGAACATTTCAAAGTGTAACTATACTTTAATATTCTGGTTTGTTTTATTTACAAGTGACTTGAGAAATGAAGATTCATTTCGGTTATCATTTAAATCATTGGCTACAATAAGATTCATAAGAGCTAATTCATCTCTTGTCTTTTTAACGAATAATAGTGAGAGCTCAAATACCTTCGATAAAAGCTCGTTTATTTTATCAGTATGTTGAGTGATCATTTTGATGTTACGCAGTTGTTTGCTATGACACTACAAAGTTTTGCTTGTTTAAAACAATTCAGTTCAATATCTTTATACGAGCTAGTGTAGACCAACTGATTTCTCCTTGTCCGCTTCTGGGTCTTGGGGAATGGTAACAGGTCTTTGGTTGACTCCGATGCGGTAGGTCTACCCACCCTACTGCTGTAGCTCTGGTTAGCCCGACGGGCTGTTGGGTTTTGGTTGAATTTGTAGGTAGTATGTGTTTTTTCCCAAGGACTATCGTTCAAATGGGTTCCTTAAGTGTCGTGCTAGCAAGAGATTGGTCGAACTGGTTGTAATATGGAGATGGAAAATATGTCCAGAGAAATCGAGAGAAAGTGCGGAGAAAAATAAACAATAGAAATAACGGTTAGGAAGAAGAAACATCGTAGATTCATAGGAAAGAGGTGTTGGGGAACGTAAAGTCAGTGGGAAGGCGAGGAGAAAATAACACTATAGGACGGGTTATGGGAATGGAGATAGTAATTCTATTAGTAGGAGACACCAACTGGAGGGGACGTCTGTAGGGAAGTATAAGGTTGAACAAGTTAGCAGTGACGTCAGCGTCACAACGTATTCGATAATGGGTTGGCCGTACTGAGTTAGTAATTTATGCCGGCCTAGTCCATATCTCAGTGGGATGAGCACAAGCCGTGCGTCGATGCGTAACAGCCAAACCTTTTCTTGAAGCTCTCAACAGGTGGAGCAGTAACACAAATCTCATTCGCGAGCTTCAATATACCAGCTGAGACCCTTGCACACACCTCCAGACCATGCAGAACTATTGTAGCTCGTTCATGGATTTCCGTGTAAGTGATCCAAAATGCAGCAGCAGCAGAAAACAACATCTTTAGTGTGGGTGAGAGAAATGCATGAGTATTGATATCCAGTACATCCACCATTCACTGAGCAAAAATGATGGCGTGAAGGCAAAAAATCGAAGAATATCATCTTTCGCAACTACTTCCTAGGGCTTGGGTCGAGTTGTTCGGTCCGCTCCCGCAGTGAACGAGGAAATATCCTCTGCTATCTCGCTTGTGGCCTTGGTGACGTGGATGTTTTGTGAGTCAGTAAGTTGCAATTTGTAGTGATTGGAGAGCTACAGGTTAATGGAAAGCTCAGAGGGCTGCCGTGAATCGTCCTTCCGTAGGCACCAGAAAGATAAGAGTGAGGCAATTGTAAAGCGCAAACAGAAAGGGAAGAAAAACGAATAAATGGGGTACATGAATAGAAAAAGCGAAAGTAAAGGAAAGAAGCAGAAGGTGAAGAACACCGATAAAAGAGGGAGTAAACCATGTGGGGACTGCCCGAATGGTGAAAGAAGGCTCCCTAGGCCTATTTCCTGGAAAAGAGCTAGGTGACGTGGGTGTAATAAGGAGCGCGGTGGTGAGTGGTAGGTAGGAGGGAGATGAGGGGTTGGTGGGTTGGTGACTACCTGAGTACGTCCGTGGTAGACCACGCAAGGTGACATAACTGCCTAGCAGTCTCTTGGATGAGTCGACTGAAGGAGCTGTAACGATTTCTCGCGGTAAGGCATTCCATAAAGCACATACTCTTAGGGAGAAGAGATTGGACCTGAGCATGCTGTTAGCTCTCCGGTGAGCTATCTTAATGGGGTTTCCACGTGAAGACTACCACCTCGCAGGCAAGGTTATTCTGTTTGCCCGGTCTGCCTGATGGGTGATCTTGTATGCCATAATAAGGTCACTCCCCTTCCTACGATAACTCAGGGTGAGTAGATTTAGGTGCCTGAGCCATTCAGGATACGCCTTGCCCCTTAGGCCCACAACCGGTTTCGTTGCGGTTCTTTGTATTCATTCAATGAGATCGGAGTCTCTCTTGAGTGTTGACGGGGGCCACCGTACTGAAGACCTCTAGGTGCGGACGCACGAACGATTTGAAAGAGGTGAGGAAGAGTTCGGTAGTGGGGGCGCCAAGCTGTCGACGCAGAAAGTGCAGAATGGCGTTCCCTCTGGTTGTCATACCTTTGTAGTTGGAGCTGATATTCAAGGTGTCGGAGAAGTTGAGCCCCAAATCTTTCTCCATGGACACTCTGGTGATAGCGCGGTTCCTCAACATGTACTGGAAGTCGATCCCACTTGCTTCATGTTTACTGATGTGCATTACCTTGCACTTTTCCAGATTGAAGCTCAGGCCATTTCCCGCCGACCAGAGCTAGGGTTGCCGTGAGTCCTTTTGTAGTGTTTCACAGTCGGTTTCTTCGTTTACCACCCTCCAAATTTTAATGTCGGTAGCGAAGAGGAGGATAGGTGAGGATATTTTGTCTGGCACATCCTTGACAAACAGGAGGAACAGAAGCGGTCCTAGGATTGCTCCTTGGGATACTCCTGACGTCGAGGGTCTCCACTCCCACCTTAATCCGTTTACTCTGGTGCACAGCTGCTTCCCTCCGGGTACCCCTTGAACCAAGAGAGTGGGGGTTCAGTTACACCAGCTGACATGATCTTGTGAAGCAGGACTGTGGGTGGGACACTGTCAAATGCTTTGGCTAGGTCGAGAAATACAACATGTACCGGTTCTCTGTTATCCTACCTTGGTGTCCAGTCGTCTCAGGCGGTTAGTAAGTTGGCGGCACATGAGCGACCACTCCGAAAGCCATGCTGAGCAGTATGCACAGTGTTTTCCCTATTGAGGAATTCCCAGATGGTGTCAGCTACCGGGCTTTCCAGCACTTTCGGCACAACAGGGAGTAGAGCGATCGGCCTGCAGCTGCCAGGGCTTTTTCCTTCTCCCGTCCCCTTGAAGGTGGGTGACAAGATGGCGCTCTTCCATTCTCTAGGGAGTTTGAGCGACTCTGCTGAGTGCTTTCAGAGGCTGTGGATTGGTTTAGTGAGCACCCCGGCACAGTTTTTAGGATCACCGGTTTTAGGTAACCGCAACCAGGTGACTTGCCAGGATGTAGCCTGGACATTTTCTCTAGCACCCTTTTCTCTGTGATTGAGGTGTGGCAGGGGTATTTGTTATTTACGACCCGGTCGGTGTCGTAACGAATGGGTGTGGATTTGGTGTCAGTGCTAAGTTTAGCTTGGAAGTGTGAACTCAAAAGCTCGGTAATCTCTAGACTTCTTAGTACACTGTCATCAGGACCTGTGACAAAATTCACTCCCTCGCTGGTTGACTTCCTTCTCGACATGAAGCGGTACAGGTCTTGAGGACTGCCTTGCAACCTCTCCACCAGGTTTGCCTGGTAGAAGAATCTGTCGCTACGCACTCTAATGTTACAGCGGTTGCGAGTCCTTTTGTAGTTCAAAAGTCAAACTCCCTGCGTGATGAACGCCACTTGAACCGAGCCTGCTTCTTGCTCTGGACAAGCTTCTCTGTCCCACGCTTTGGCCATGAGGTTCTCACTGATAGTCCATATGCTACCTCTGGTACACTGTGATTGATGGTCTCAAAGATTATTTTCTTCACCAGTAACCAGTGTTCATCTATTATGAGATGAGTCCAGTCAATCGGCCACGAGGCATTCATGAGATAGCCCTCGTGGTCTCACAGCTGGCCTTGCTGTGGCAAGGAAAGGTGTTGGGCGTCTCCAGTTGCAGGGCCTCCCCAGTAATTATGGAAGAAGTTATTACTGCTTGGTCACTGAGGCAGAGGGGAGGTTGGGTGCAGATATCCTCAATGAGAAGGTAATCGACCATCAGAACGGGGTCAAGGCGCGATGCGTTTCCGTCGGGTCCCAGCGTGAGGTGTCTTCCACTTCCTCTGAGAGGCCGGCAGTCTTAACTGCATCATTTAGCTTCTGATTGAAGGATCTGATGTGTCTCCCTTTCGTCTCGAAAAGGATGGACGGGATGTCCAAGTCATTGGCAATGATTACGGAGCCGTGGTTTGTAGAGGAATTCGTTAGTGTTCGTTGATATGGTAATAATAATCATAACAATAATAACATATTTCGTACATCATAAGTTACACGAATACAAACCAGTTTATGGGCTAGGGCCGTATCACTAACCACGCTTGTTCTTAGAAGCGAGCTTACGTAGAGTGCCACCCCCTCCTGCTGTGAGCTCTCTGTCCCTGCGGAAGTGTTCCATGCCAGCGACACACACCTCTTCATCGGAGGCGTCTGGTGAGAGCCAGGATTCAGTGACAAATATGATGTCAGAATGCTGACGCCCACGCAGCATCCCCATATCTGCTACTTTCCCTCTCAGCCCCTAAGGTTGCTGTACATACATGTTAGTGTGCTTGCTGAGGGCTGGTTGTGTATTTTCGCTAGAGGGCCACTTACGTGGTTGGGCCTAGCGTCGCCAGTCCTCAAAGGACTGGCGTCGTTCAGATTTTTGCCTTTTGTTTTCAGCTCAGGTGGGGGCTGTGGCAGTGGGAACTGCTTTACTCCATGTATCTGACTCACTGGCCGGTGCCTGTGTGACAACCACTGACCCAGGGGTCTTGGTGGTTGTGGTCCCTCCTTTTACCTCGTTGGTCTAAGATCACTTTCACACATGGGTGTTGAGCCGCCCATGCGGTCCTTCGCATTATACCATGCATGTAGAACGTCTGTGAGGGAGGCATGTAAGTCGAATTGGATGGCAAGCAGTCCGGAAATGGGTGCGGACTTCAGATAAGTAGGTAAATTTATGTTTTATTCTCGCGTTAAAAAAAGATTTTAACGTGAGAGAGGCCAGTTTACAGGCTCCATCACCTTGACACATCTCAAAACATCTACAAGACTTGAGCCCTGAGTGGTACTGACGGAGTGTCATTAAACTCAATTAAAAACTTCCGAAGGTCCTGCTAGTTGTGGGATGAACAAGGAAATATTACTTTACAGCGTACATAAGTGTTTAAGTTCAGATAATAATGAATATTTTCCTCATTTAACAGGTTTAACATGAGGGATACCAGTTTGCAAGCACCGTCAAATTCATAACTTTCGAAAGTTTACGAACTGGTATCTAGTGTTAAATAATTTACATACCAAGTCATTAGTGTGCATAATCCTATTAAAATTTACTGAAACTCATGAGACGGATA